CACTCGTAAATCACCCGAGCGCCCTCGGCCGGCCAGAATATAAATCAAGCCGTACATAGCGTATGCCAGAGCCATCATATAGCACCCTGCCGTATGCCACCGCGCACCGCCATCCCCAGCGGTAGTGCTTCCTGAGTAGCCTGTATAGGTAGCGATGTCGTTACGATATATATATATATATATATATATATATATATATATATATATATATATATATATATATATATATATATATATATATATATATATATATGCGCACTACCGAAAGGTCACTTCATGCGTACAGCACCAACCAGCACGCCCACCCGACGCGTTCCTCTCTGTCATTCGCTTGTTTCCCTTTATTCATAATAAAGCCACAGTCAATCGTTTTTGTGTCTCCAGTCTTCCTTGCACGCTTTTCGGGGCGGTACGCAGAGCGAGTGGCTTGTGGTGGCGCGCCTAGCAATAAAACCGCGCATCCATCACGGGAAAGTCGATATCTGGAATGCAACACGCTAGCTTTCCCGGGCGCGGTACGCCAGCTGGCCCGAGGCAAATGCGAAGAGGGGGTCGGGTCGGTGGTGAACGACCGACCAACGGAGTCAATGCATGAATAAAAAAAAAGAAAGAATAAAGAGAGCAGAGAGAAATGGAAAGGAGAAAGCCGAGTTATAGGGAACTTGTGCATCTAATGAACTGCCCGTACAACCTTAATGAGAACTTGCAGACAATAATGCACAGGAAAGTATAAGGCAGGAGTCAACAACCTGCGGACCGCGAGACAGTTTTATGCGGCCCTTAACGCAATAAGAGAACACAGCATATTCTTCCCTTGTCGTTACCTATATCTCAAGGCCATAAGCGCTGAACTCCTGTAGGCGGAGCGAGCGGCACCCGGAAAACAGTGGCTGCGTTCCAATACTCACCGTAGACGGCTAAATAGACAGCTAAATGGACGGCGGCCATCTTTAGTCCCATTCCAATTCTCACGTAGCCGGCAAAGTAGACAGCTCCGAGAAGACCACATCATAGACAAATACGATGCAGGCTACTTTGCTGTCTAAACAAGATGGCGGCACAGCGAACCGCTCAGATAGATCAAATCTCGCCAGAATGGCCGTCTGCAGACAAGCAGACGCTTTGCCAGACGCTCAACGTGAGTGAAAATTATTTGTTTTTGATTTCGACACGAAAGAAGCCAGAAATGACAACTGTTACGTTTGTTTCTTCTAGCTTTTTCTTCTCGACGTAAGGTGGCGCATCGTCACGTAAAAGCTGTCTAAACGTGTTCCATTCTCGGACAGCATGGGCTCAGTGCGGTCTTCTAAGCAGTCTGCGCAGACTGTCTACGTGCTGTCTAAGAATTGGAACGCAGCCAGTGGCGCAACTTTGCTACCTAAAGGTAGCATATACAGTAACTCTAGCTGTAGAAAGGATGGGTCGTGACGACATTTTTCGCCGAACCGCGCCGTTCTTGCCTCACGCTTGCGAGCGATTCATTCGCGGTTTCAGGACGCCACCAAAGCGCGAGCCGCTAGTGTAGACGTGCGTCTGTACCGCCATATCCTTAGGACAAGTACGTCACAGCGAAGCGAAGGCACATCATTGGAACGCAATGCTTGCGACCTTTGCACAAACTCGAAGGCCATCGGCGGCTTCACGCTACCAAGCTCAACGCTGGCTTCGACGCTGTTTACGGGCGCTTACTAGTATTCCACACTTAGCGTACGCAAACTACAGTAGTCGCACGCGTCGCGGAAAACAAGAGCAGACCCCGGTTGAAGAGCCAAGCTAACGCGAACGTTAGTCGACGAAAAACAAGACGAACGACATTCGAGAAAGGATCGATCGATATGTCGGGTTTAATGTCCTAAAACCAACATATGATTAAGAGACGCTGTAGTGGAGGGCTCCGGAAATTTCGACCACCTAGGGTTCTTTAACGTGCACCCAAATCTGAGCACACGGGCCAACAACATTTCCACCCTCATCGGAAATGCAGCCGCCGCAGCCGGGATCCAATCTCGCGACCTGCGGGTCAGCAGCCGAGTGCCTTAGCCACTATACCACCACGGCAGGGCCATTCGAAGAAGGAACGCCAAGTCGTAACTAACACGGCATACGCATACAGTCGAAGCTAACGCGGCCGTAAATTAATGCAAATAAGCGGACGACATTAGAGACAAGAACGCTCGGCATAACGAGGCAACGGAAAAGCACTGTGAAAGTTAACGCAGCCGTCAACTAACGTTCGCAGAACGGGAAAGCGAACAGGCTGAAGCTAGAGTACAAATGCAGGCGCACATACGGAAAACCATAACCGTATGCTAATGGTACAAAAGCAAACTTCAGGGCGACGCATAGAAGAAGTTGGTACGCGCGAACACTTGGGTCGTAAACGGGGCGTTCACACACTGGGGGGCGTCGCGCGCGTACGCGTAAAAATACGCCGCAGCCAAGAAGGAAAACGCTCGAGCAGCAAACTTTTGGGTATGCCGCCAAAGAGGGAGAAAACAGATCGTGTTAGCCACTTGAGGCGCAGAAACTATTAAAGAAACTAAAGAAACGAAAAAAGCGCACACAGCCGACGGTGAAACCGGAACGGCGTTAAAACGACGTGTAAGGGGTGTGCTGTGCGGGAAGCTGCTGAAGCCTTTGTTTTTAACGGCCGTTAGTTTTTCGTGCTATAGCTATACACGAGCACAAAGGCTTGAGAACAAGTCACGCGCACAACTCCCCCCCCTCCCCCCCCCCCCCCCCCCACCACCACCACCACCACCACCACGAAAGCGGCCTTTAATGGCCGCAAGCTCACCGCCATTACGGGCGTACCGCAGACGGCGGGGAAGCTGTAGCCCCGGTTTTTTTAAGTGTGCTGGAAAGAAAGGGGAGGTGGGGTTGAGAAGGGGTAGATGACGATCCGGCTGCTTGGTGTTTGAATGCGAGCGCTGCCAGGCGTCATCTTGCGGTCATAAAGCGTAACGCGGGGAAACGGAAATAATGCATTAAAAGCCGCGATAAAAATGAAAAAAAAAAAAGGAGTCGCAGTCAGCGTTAGAGTGTCACGCGTTGTTGAGGTGCAACGGAGCGAGAGAGCTGGGGCATCCACAAGAAAAGAAACAAATACAGGAGAAACCGGTGTTCCGCCACGACAGTTCTGTTACAAGAGCCCCTGGCGCGAGCGCTAGAGGGTGTCCTGTTTAAGTGTCTGACGGCGGTTTTCGATTTTCGCGTTCGCTAATGCCGAGCATTTTCGAGCGCTACTGCAGGGCATCCTCCCCCTCCCCTTTTTTTTTTCAAGCAGCACGAGTAAGAGGTAGAGGGGAAAAAGAAGTAAAGAACGATATAGGGTGGCGTAGAACACGATTGTACGACGAGAAATACGAAAGGATTACTTCTTCCTAGAATAGAAACCAAATAGTGAAAAAAAAAACTGAATATAAGAAAAAAAAAGAGCGATAAGTGGGTACCGCGTTAAGTAACGAAACGACGACGGGTATAAGCCATCGGAACACAAGCGCAATCAAAAAAATACGCTCACAACAAAGCGGCTTAAAATCAGCTAAAAACTGCGATGCCCCCTTCCCCTTTAGAACAAAGCAAGTACAGAGACAAATTAATGAAAGCGGGGGAAAAAAAGAAAGAAAACGCGCATGAGCTGATGCCTAGAACACTTCGGTACTTTGACGGCGAGGTTAGGTACACCTGTGGTTTCGTTGCTGTGCCCTTCAGAAAATAAACGAATTATTTGACCTTTGCGAAACAATAACGACGTTACATTGGTGAGGCTGCCTGTGTTGCAAGAGAATGCTGAATTATTACGGCGTTCGAAGGCTCGCTCTTTAGCGCTCCCGTAAATCTACGTAAACGAGTCACTGGGCAGGACCTCTTTTAATTGTGACCCCAGACAGTGAGAATCCAACATGCGAAAATCAGTTGCGCGTGAGGAAGGGTTCTTTTTGCACTTGACAAGCTCGTCGAACACCACTGCTACCACTCGATCACTACGTGGAGGTGTTGAAAACAAGTATGAAGGTCTACTCCATGCTGGAGGAGTACAAATAAACACCGAATATGTCAAGCCGGACGTAGTGTTGAATGGAGGTGAGAAAATGGCGCCTGAAGAAAGTACTCTAATAAAACGTACGAAAAAAGTCTGAAAAAAAAGTTCGAAGGTATACTCTGCCGCGATGGAAAACAAATAAAGTTCAAATGCGTACTCTTATACGATTGTGTCACACATAAAGTGCGAAGTACTCCAATGTGAAGGTACAAAAGAGGAGTGCGCCGGCACCATTGAAATTTGGACTTGTTGGTAAACACAACGTCGATGAAAAGCAGCGCTGAATGAGCAAAGATACGAAAGGAGGAGACACAACACAGATGCTTGTGTAGTGTGCCTTCTCACGTGCCCGTTCGCGCAGCTCTAATTTTCGTCCAGTCTGAAAGCTTTGCTCCAGTTGAGAAGAGTAAAATAAGAACTCCGAAGGTATACTCAAAACCAGGAGGTGTAAAAACTAAAGTCGGAGGTTTACTCAAGTCTTGCGGAGCACGAATAAAGTCTTAATGTGCATGCCTGTACGGAGGTGTCAAAATCAAGTTCGGAATACCGAAATTTGACTGTAAGGTGTTCTGTCTGAAGCAAGTGCTTTAAAGTGCAGCAATAAAAAATTCCAACGGTGAGCTACCATTTCAACAACAAAAAAAGAAAAGTCTGAACGCATATTTCACTTAGAAAGTATTAAAAAACATAAACAAAAAACTCCTAGGAAGGTGTACTTCAGCATATAAGTGTAGAAAGAGAATGTGGAGAAGCACAAATCAAGTCAATCTATAGGGGTGATAATATAATCTGAGGAAAGTACTTTAATATTAAGGCCTAAAGAAAGAAAGGAGTCCGGTGGTATACTCAAGCCGGGACGGACAAAAGAGTGAAAGGTGTACACCAGTTTGAAAGAGTAAAAACAACTTCGGTTTAAAGGTGTAACAAGGAAGAGGAAGTCTGCAGATGTACTTACCTTCATGGTCTGCGAGTGATTCATGGCTTTGATGGCGTTGATGGCGCACTGTCTGCTGGCGTACGTGACAAACGCGCAGCCTGCAAGCAGGAGAAAAAAAAAGAATAGAAACAAATGCGTTGAGAACAGAATCGGAAGCAGTGTAAACAGAAAAAAAAAAGGCGCACTTCGTTAAAAGCAGAAGACGAGCTTCTGCTATGATTCTGGTTTTGAACTTAGCTGGCTGTCGGGGTGATTGTTTCACTTCATCAGATCCGCAGCATAATTAAGAATTATCCCAACTGTGAGCAACAATTAGCACTGTTTTATGCGTATTTTGAATATGTTCAGCCCTACTTGCCCATTCAAGACGTGCGTGTATGTGAACTTCCATGTTCGGCATGCAATTTTTGTACGTACAAAGTACACAAGTACCGGAATGAGCGAATTAATGATTGAGTGATAGAAAGTGAGTGAGTGGACAAATGGAAAGCATTCAGTATTCCACATGGACCACTGTGCATTGAAGGCGTTTGCGCCACTGCTCTCCTATTCTTTTTCTCGTATTCCACCTCCCCACAGGCGCTGCGTCGTGCTCCCTACCGGGCTGCAGAAATTGGGCAAGTTCTTCCTCTTCTAACTACCACCACCCCCACCGCCACTACTGTACAAACGTTGCTTACGTAGCCAAAGCAAAAAAAAAAAAAAGCACAAGCGAAGAAAAAAAGCGAAAGAAACACGCCGTCATCAAATTTTCCGCCATTCTCGCAAGATTCTATACAAACAGCACAGACACGTGCGATCGCAATTCACTGCCATTTACGAAATTCTCGACCCAGGTACAGGTGTACGGTCCACGCGCCACAAGAAGTGTAACGGCGTTTTGTCTTTTTTTTAGGGTAACTTAACAGAGCCGCAGTGCTCTGAAGTTCTTAAATACGCGCAGTATACTGCGCGCATTTAAGAATTTCAGAGCACTCCAGTGACGCCGATTTTATGCCTTAAAGAAAGCACGAAAGCATCAACAGGAAACCAGCAAGTGTTATTGCACACCTTTCGGAGAAGCAACAAAACGCAGGGTTGACCTTTTTAGACGCCATCCACGAAAAGCTGTGTGTATAGTCACGTCAGAATGGCACAACCTTAATTGAAGGCACTCGATACTTTACCTTAACAAAATTAACGTCACAATACACCCATTATTGCGTGTTATGGTAAGTAACTGCAACTGCACTGTAATTAAATATTAATTTATCCTGAGCTCGTTCATGCTCTATATCTGTATATATAAGATCAAATCTCAGGCTAGAAAATGCAGAGCAAATTAATTGTAGACTATGTTGATTTTGAGCAAAGTAATGTATATTTTTCTGTCGCGACAAGTCCAATGTCGTAGTGCCTTCAGCAAAGTCATTATATCCAACAGTGCACTACAAAATGGTGTCAAATGAAGACATGTCTTACGCAAGAAATTCAATTCGTCAGAAGTTCAATGCATTTCGCGCCATCTTAGCCGCAATTCGACACGACCAGCGAAAAACAGTGTACCACTTAGTCGTTTAGAAATGACGCCCCAAATGGTTAATTGATTGATTGATATGTGGGGTTTAACGTCCAAAAACCACCATATGATTATGAGAGACGCCGTAGTGGAGGGCTCCGGAAATTTCGACCACCTGGGGTTCTTTAACGTGCACCCAAATCTGAGCACACGGGCCTACAACATTTCCGCCTCCATCGGAAATGCAGCCGCCGCAGCCGGGATTTCAACCCGCGACCTGTGGGTCAGCAGCCGAGTACCTTAGCCACTAGACCACCGCGGCGGGGCACGTCCCAAAGGGTTAACAACATTACGAAGCAACAAGGTGCCGCCCCTAAAACAGCACACGCACAAGCAACCTTGAAACTCGGCGTTTGAACGCGGAATGGGCCCCGCGGACAACAATCCCATAATTCGGGGCGCACGAGAAGAAAAAAAAAAGGACGCAGTCGACTACGTCTATATGAGAGGACACGCATACACGGCCGTGGGGTTAAAAAAAAAAAAAAAACGAAACGACACTCCCGCTAAACGACCGCGCCGGCAAATTTGTCGGCAAAGTCAAACACAACGAGTACATACAGCGGAGACGTATACACGAGGATCATACAACAAACCCAAGCGGAAGATTAACGGCGAGCTCAATTAGGCCTAGCAACCCAATTAGGCCCAACAACATTGTAAGGCGGCAATAAAAAGCGGGCGTATAGGGCATGCACGACGTGGCCCCATTCGAAAAAAAAAAAATGAAGCTAATCGAGTTATATTCTTGACGAAGCAAACACTTTACACAACGAAGAAGCGTATTACGGGTGTATATACGCGTAGAAACACGAACGCTGAAAGTTGATATTCTGTGTGGACCCCCCCCCCCCCCCCCAAAAAAAAAAAAAAAAAACGCGCAGTCATCGCCTTATGAGCCTCAGCCTCCGAACTCGGCAAAACGAGAAGATATAGACGCCCAGTTAGGTTAATAAGATTTCGGCCGTAATCGGATTAGGCGAGCGGTCTTTTCGAGCGATGCGGCCTAAATGAGAGAGGGGAAAAAAAAAGACTGATGACTTGCCGCGGGGTATATAACGTGCGCAAAAAACTAACAATACAGAAAAAACAGCAATTTTCGAAATGACGTATGCACGAAAAAAGGAGGCTTAACGTAGACGTAGCAAAACGTTGCGCCGCACGTCAGCTCATAACGAAGGCCGTAGTTCTAGCCACGTCAGCGCAGTAATGCACAACAGCACTGCAGTCTATAGACAAATGTATTAGTTAAAAAAGAAGGTAAAAATGCTGACTTTCGCATGCCGTCAATGGTTTATGCATAAGGAGGTTCAAAAAAAAAAGATGGCAGCATATCCACGGAGTGAATGATGGAGAGTGCGGCGAAGCATCCGTCCGTCCATTCGTTCTTGCTTCCGTCCGTCCATGCGTCCATCTGTGTGACCGTCCGTGCGTCCATTCGCCCGTCCGTGCGTGCGTCTGTTCGTGCGTCCGCACGTCCATCTGTGCGTTCGTCCATGCATCCGCCCCTGCGTCCATCCATGCGTCCATCCGTCGGTGCAGCCATCCGTGAGTCCGTCCATGCATCTGTCTGTGTGTCCGTTCGTCCATCTATTCAACACTCCAAATACCACGATCTCGCATCTTTTCATCATATATTCCGCATGTGCACCACCATCCAGCGGATATTCCAAGGACTAAACGAGAGGTGGCACACGCACACTTTCTTACGGCTTGCGCTTCGGGTCTACTTCCCACCTTTAACCACCTCGAGTTCATGGTATATACTAGGTCACTCTATTCATGGCACTGCTGGCCCAACGCTCGCTAAATCTTTCTAAAACCAAGGAGGTTATGCCCAGCGAGTATAACGTAGCAACCCTTTCTTGTCCGATAGTGCTCAATGTACATGCCAATGGCTGCTAAGGGGGAATGAGAGACAGGAGAATTCGGCTTTTAGTCAACGCGCACGGCTGCGAATTTTTTAATGTTCAACAACGCACAGAAGAAATCTCTCACCGGCACCACCTTGGAGGTCAAAACGAAAGACTGGTTACACACTACGACTACTATTACGACTACGAGGGACGAACGGGTGCTGCTATAAGGAGCTTCGCCCCTAAAAAAAATTGCTGGAGTGGAAGATCCCGCAATGCTTTGCCAGCAATAGTGAAGTCAGCTTTTGTCCTCCAAAGATCTCGGAAACATACTATTTTCTGATGGTGCCCACTTAGACATCAAGTGGTTTTTATCTGCAAGTCTAAAGGCTACATGAGGTATAATTTAAAAGATAGTTGTTTCTAATTAAATAACGCACAGAGGCGAGCTCGGCCACTTCATACTCCAATAAAATTTGCCTTGAATTCGAGGCCTACTATAGGAAACTAGTAAAGCAAGGACGCACTTTGGGCATTTTATAGCCCCACAGAGTGGCCCCCTTAAACTCGTTGGGCGTGCGAGGAAAACGCTCCGTCTCAATCACCGAACGCGAACAGCTGATCATGCCCCCAGTAAGATGGCTGCCGCAGCCGCCATCTAGCCGTGGGTACGGCTTCACTCGTGGGAAATATTTTCCAATCCAGCAATTTTGTTTAAACCTACTTGCGTGTAACCAAGAGCACCCGTACCTCTTTGGCCGCGGCGTGCACTGTAAATATTTGAACAGGAGAGAGAGAGATAGAGATGCGAAGAAGAGAAAAAGTTGACAATGTCATTAGGAACAACGCATTTTTAATCATACACGCACAGACAGGCAGATAGTGATGCGCCACTGGCAAATGAAGTATTGCGATAAGACAGGGTTCTGAGAGGTTTCATCAGACTAGGTCTATTGCGTACATACCTAAACGTTATCACACGAGGTAAAGGGACACTAAAGTCAAATAACAATTTACGTCAGAGCGAAAGCTCAATGTGTGACAACACCTAAAACGACAATATTATCAACAACAGTGCTCTACTTACCGAGAAACCGAGGTAAGTGCACAAGAACACATGCGCCGCGGTTGGACATTCTCAAAATGATCCCGATGACATCAGACGGACCGCCTATAGTAAATCACTAGTAATCGACCTAGCTGCACTAAATAAAGAACCTTCCGTGGATCAAGAGAGGCAATAAAATGCTGCCAGTTCGTTTCTGTTTGATTCATGAAAAAAAAAGAACCGCCGGACATTACTATGGTCAATGGCGCGAATGGTTAAAAAATTGAATTTTCGCGTAGTAACACTGGACAGGTGGTGTCATCTAGCGGGGCGCAGTTGAATAACAATAAAAAAAAAAACTTCTGCAACCTTGGAGCTACTGGTGGGAAAATCATCAATGGCCGTTGTTGCTGCAGTAGCTCCCGCTGCTTTCGGTCAGTTGCTACTAACGCAGTAAAGCCGGGCAACGTTGTGCACGGCAACAGTGACGTGAGTCGGTCCGGTCGGTCCGCTCATCGAGGCGGGTAATTTGAAGTGCGCTAACCCGATGCGGACCACTAAAACGTGATCTTATTTCAAAACAGGCCTTTTTTGGCACAAAAGTAGCCCTACGAGGTTTCTGGACCACCATTTCAA